CTTGTCACGAACCTCTAGTGGTACTGGTCACAGATAATGGACCAAATTTTCCCAGCTAGGACTTCAAGGAGTTCTTGCAGAAAAATGGAATTAAATACGTCTCCATATCATCCTGCTTCAAATGGCTTAGCCGAGAGAGCCATTAGAACTTTCAAAGAAGGAATGAAAAAGATGACTTCTGGGACTTTGGAGACCAAGCTGGTTCAATTTCTCTTGAAATATAAAATCCCCCCCCTGATGATGATGGGGGTGAGTCCATCCGAGTTGTTGATGGGGATGAGGGTATGCACCCACCTGGATTTAACGCATCCCAAACTAGAAGAGGAAGTGCAAAGGAAACAGACTCTTCCAAAAGGTAACCATGATTACCACACTAAAGATAGAGACTGCGGAGTACAGGATCATGTCTATACCAAGAGTTTTAGCACCTCCCAACCTATCTGGATCCCAGGTAGAATTCAAGCACAGATGGGGCCTCTACTTTTTAAGGTTGGTTTACCAGATGGCCGAGTCATCAGGCAACATCAAGACCACATCCACAGGAGAACTGGTGTGCAAGATTCTGTGAAAGTGGGAGAGGAACAAGAATGCCCAGAGTACCAGAGTCCCTGTGGCATTTCAGAGTCAGATGCCCACTGTAATTTGATGCCCCCTTCCAGGTCACTGACCAGGGAAGATTCTGAAGAAACTGACTGTCACGACTCAGGTGGGGTGTCACCTGACGCTGCCACCACTCTGGATTTAGGATCCCTTGAGAAGGCCCAGAGCACCCTCCCAAGACCTTCAGACCTCCCTTTTGGCCGAATAATAGGTGTGAGGACCAGGCAGAGTGAAACAAGGAAAAGGTTTATTTTATAGGAGGTCAAATAAACAAGGTGCAGGAATAATAACAGTAAGTGGGTGAAAAGAAAAGAAATCAAATGCCCTAACGAGTCTAAATATACAGTCCCAAGCTCCCTATCTCCAGTGGCCTTTGACTACTCACCCTTCCCTCAGGATGAGGGTATCTTCACCACAGCAGCCTCCCTTCTGGCCCTGTTCCCTGGGAAGAAGAACAGCTCTTCCTCTGTACCAGCTCTTTTATTATAAGTCCTTTTTCTCTGTGATTGGCTAATTTTGGCTCCAAAACCTCTCAGGGTCTTCTGGAAGTTGTAGGCCTGGCCTCCTCCCACTGCTACACAGGCTTCCTTGGCCTGCTAGGCCTTGCTTGCACAGCCCAGATCATGACACTGACCTTTCCAGGCCCAGGGATAATGACACAGTGGAAACACACTGCTATCCAGTGAGAGTAAGACGGTTTCCTAGTTATTTGAAAGACTGTATTCGGGTGACTACTAAACAACAACAACAACAACAACAATAATAATAATAATAATCAGGGGTCATTTCCTGCAGGAGCGCACAGGAGCGGAGCTCCGGCAGTAAAGAGCCCAGGGGGCGGGCACATGCAACAAGCCCCACCCCCTGCTCCGAGCAGCCCTCATTAGGAGCAAGAAGCAGCGAGGTAAGCTGCAGAGCTCCCCCCAGCCCAAGACAGTCCAGTGGCACCTTTAAGGCCTAGTTTTATTCAGGTACAGGCTCTCCCTCCTCTGTGAAGACAGATTTGCACGCCCCCCCCCCAATAGCTAGCAATACAAGAGAGTCCAGTGGAGCCTTAGCAGTGGGTGTTGCCTTCTGACACACTTCCGGTGATGGCAGGGGGTGTGGTGTAAGGAAATAAGTTATGCTAATGAGTTATGCTAATGAGCTCCTGCACCTCTTTTTCTACAAAATGACCCATAATAATAACAACAACAACAACAACAACAACAACAACAACAACAACAACAACTTAAAGGGGAACGGATGTAGTAAAATGGATAGTAAGTTAACTGGGACCTGATTATGGGTTGAAGGAAAACTCCACCCACTGGACTATTCTCTGTTCTTACTTTCAGTTTCTGTGTTAGTCTGAAGTTGGTTGCAATAAAGCAGTTGTGTTACGTTCAATAACTTATGTGAGTACCAAGATTTATTTAATTACCACCGTAAGATCACAAAAGGAACATCCAATTTCACCAAGGCATTTCACTTTAGGGTGAATGCTAGCGGTAACCCTGGCCTTTAATGATTTAAACTGTTCTTACGGCATCAGCAGCCAAGCTGTTTGAAGTTGTGGAGATGAGACTGGAGGGAAAGGGAGGGATGGGGTAGCAAGCAAATACTTCACGGGTTGGAGACATCTCTGGGCTTGTAAGTGGACACTTCTGATTTACACCAGCTCAGGACCTCATGACTAATCTGTAAATTGTCTTCATGGTGACCATCCGTCACTGCGGCTTTCCATTTTTCTCTAAAACTCTTGATTCTGCAGAAATACAATATGTCATACCTCTGCCCGTAGAAGTCCTGAAATATGGTCTTCCATTGTGGAACTGCAGAGAGCAGAAGGTGAATATTTGTGTTTGCCAAAAAATGCATTCACGGCATGAAACAATATCCTGTAGGCAAAAAGGCAGCATGATAGAGGGATCCTTACACCGTGTACCGATTATAGGCTGACCCCTTACATATCAAAGAAAATAAAAAAGACAGGCAATTGTCAAATCTATGGGTTGGATCCAGTAGAACATTTCAACTAACAGATGGGGGGGGCAGTTTTTACTGATTTCCTCCTTCCCGTCGCAGACCTCCATTTCCCCCTTCATGTTATTCCCGGGTGTTCTTCTGTCCCCTAGGAACAGCATTCATGGGACATTGGCGTCTGCAGCAGGAGATGGGAAGATGAGGAAGTCCTGCTCAACTTATGGGAACCCCTTCCATCAATGGAGACTTTTCATGGGATCAAAGACAATGCAATACTGATTTTTTCCAAGATGGTGGCTCTAGAGCAGAGCTGTCAAACTCATTTGTTACGAGCAGGGCTTTTTTGTAGAAAAACCCCAGCGGGAACTCATTAGCATAATAGGCCACACCCAACAGAAACACAATAGCATATTAAGCCACACCCTGACCGCACAGCTCATTAGCATATTAGGCCACACCCCCATGCCTTCTCTTGGCTTGCCCGAGTGCCCCGCAGCTGTGGGGACCCCAGCCAAGCCGGCCTTTGGACAGGCTGGGGAAGGCACAGGGAGGCATTTAAATGCCTCCCCGATCCTTCCAGGGGGCCCACTGGCCCACCAGCCTCAGAGTTGCGGGGGGGTCACTCTCCAGGCCTTCCCTCTGTAGCCACACATGCAGAGGTTTTGGCTGTAGTGGGCATGGCCAACTCTGAAGCCAGCCGGAACTCCGTTCCTGTGCGTTCCTGCCCAAAAATAGCCCTGGTTACAAGGGCTAAATTTGACATAAATGTCTCTTTGTCGGGCTGTACCATGCGTGCCATAAAACATAATGCCGGGTACTAGAGATAGAAACTGCATAAAGGACAGCAGCTGGTAAGCTCCGAGTTGGTGTGTTCTCACTGTGTGGCCCCATGGGCTGAGAGGGGGGTACGGAGGAAAACCCACAGAGACGGACTGGAGAGGCAGGAGTGCAGTGCTGGGCAGATGCTCCCACGATGCTTGACTGCTGCAGGCGAGGTCGTTCTGCTATGCTAAAGCCATAATGGAGTGGCCCTGCCCACTCCCCTCGCTGGTACTCCCTCCCTTGCATCAGTTGCTCGCGGGCCGCATAAGAGCCCTAGACAGGCTGGATCCATCCCCCCAGGCCTTATGTTTGACACCCCTGCTCTAGAGATTTTGGAATTGGAAGATAAAACAGTGCATGAATGTTCCTGATTTGATGTCTAGGATGCAACTAAGGGATTCTGTCTACAGCAGAATGCTCAATTCCTGTTAACAGTCCAGGACTCTTTTTGTAGCAGGAACTCCATTGCATATTAGGCCACACACCCCTAATGTAGCCAATCCTCCAAGAGCTTACAGGGCTCTTCTTACAGGGGCTACTGTAAGCTCTTGGAGGATTGGCTACATTAGGGGTGTGTCACTTAATATGCAAATGAGTACCTGCGACAAAAAGAGCCCTGACAGTTCACTGGACTGTTTTTGAGCATCTGTAACTTGCGACTTTGGTAACGTTCTCCATTGCAGTGTTTTCCTTGGGCATTAGCTTGGGAGCGATAGTCATTGTTGTCGTACAGCTGCAGTCCTATTGCTGTGCCACACTTCCTTTGCTTAGAGAGGAGCCCCTGTGACAGCCGGGAGCCCAAATCTCATAAAGTTTGCCTTTATATTGTGTGCCCCATATGAAGAGATGAATTATGAGAAATGTGTAATGTATAGTATGCCATTCATAGGAGGCAACCTGGGACGACGAAGGCTGTCTGTCTGTTTATAAAGGGCAGCGATGGATATAGGCAAGTGCTATTAAATATATATTAAAAACATCAGATGGATCTACAAAAGACAGTGACTTGGCCATAAAAGAATGGATTGTGGATTCACATGACATATTTCCGTATGTGCTGTGGGAATGGGCAACTTGTCCTTTTTACTCTTGTGAAGTCCGGCTGGACTTCTGCTAATGAGATTATTATTTTTTATTTTTTTTAAAAAAAATGTGTTTCATGCTGTACATTCGCACAGCATGCTTTCCTATACAGGTATTTCACTTCAAATATTTATTCCCTACCTTTTCAGCTAAGAGATCACAAGGGGCTACCCATATTCAGTGAATAAAATCTTGGAAATCAGCATTACACTCCTACGGAGAGTAAATCTCTGTATACTATTAGCCACCTGTGGCCCTCGTCTGTGGAGAGCTAAATCTGCAGATCAGGGCCACGTGGAGGCTGAGCAGATTTTTCTGCAAATTTGGGGCACTCTACAGGTTTGCAGAAAAATCTGAAATCGACATTAAAGTATATAGATGGGTTTAACCCCTCCCCCCATAATATATATATTTGTGTGTATGCAGACAATGCTGTTATCTGTTCAGAACAGAGCCACTACACCCTGGCAGCTGCACTGGGCACGACCTCAGCTTCAAAGGACTCTGGCAGCCACAGCAGCCTGGCCGCGATGGCGGGGGACACCCGGGAGTCACTGCAGCCCAGCTGTGGTGGTGCACAATGCCCAGCAGCTGCACTGGACCTGGCCGTGATGGAGGAGGGTGCCCGGGAGTCACTTGTCAGCGTATTGGAAGCGCCAATAATCACACACAATCCAGGTTGGCTAGTGCTGACTATATACAGTGGTTTATTTACATGATATTTACATACAGTCCATCAGCATTTGTAGTTTCCAATTCACTGGGCAATCCAACAAAGTGCTCCGCATATAACTCCATTCACCAGAGTGAATACCCATATGGAGACTGTACTCATTATATACATCTCAGCACCAATCAGAGTCCTAATGCTGACTCATGGTGGCAGAAACTTGGCTGATGCAACCTTGATGCAGTCCTGGACCTGGTGGCATGCCACATGACACCGTAACTGTCACCTTAGATCAGGTTGATCTACTTCATTTACCTTACCAGGCTGTCATCTTGTCCACCATACATTTCAGTGTGCCGTCATCACTGTGACCCAGCTGTGGTGGAGGAGGGCTGTTGGCAGCTGCTGCAGCCCAGCCGTGGTGGCAGTAGATGCCTGGCAGCCGTGTCAAGCTTGGCTGTGGCTGAAGAAGATGCCAGTAGCTGTGCCAAGCCAAGCATCAGTGGAGGATGACTCCAGGTTCATTCCCACCACCACCCCACAAGTCCCCCCCCCACTGAGCCAAAAGGGGAATTTCCTCCACAAGTATTGTGGGGTCCCACTTGTAATAATTCATACTGGGTGTGGGGGGATTGTAGGTTTTTTTTCACTACTGATGTCTCCTAGATGAGTCATCTTGGCCCAAAAGCTGGATAATGCGTCTACTTTCTGAGAAAGCCCTCTTCTCCTTTTGAACACCTTTGATGGGCAGGGAGGGAATAGATAAAGATTTTAATTCAATTTGCTAGAGGTACCGTTTAACATCAGGTGATAATTACAGTAGTAAAGTTAATGATCTTGACTGTGTTCAAGGTAAGATGCTGTAAAATGCAGTTAACAAGTGCAGAGATGCACTGAATGAAACAAACAGTGGAATCCCTCCCCCCACCCCATATTCCAGGAAAGGAAGAGGAAGTCTGCAGGGAGAGTTCACTGAAGGGCAGCATATTGTCAATTTTTTTGGGTTTTATTTACACCATTAGATTTCTGCCTTAGGCATCATAATGCCCTGGGCCATTTCTGTAAATTGAAAAGAAGTCAGAGTATAACCACATTAAGTAGAAAGATTCAAGGCATTACAAGAAAGTCCAATATCATTCAAGTCTATATACAGATTCCATGACTGTTTTTTACCTCAAGCAATGTAATTTCACCAGGGGTCATTTCGTAGAAAAAGAGCTAGGGGAACTCATTAGCATAATTCATTAGCATATGCCACACCCCCTGACATCAGGGGCCCGGCAGTGGACCTGCAAGGCCAGCGGGAGTGCAAGGAAGCCCCGCCAAGGCCCTCCCTGGCCCCAGGCAGGCAGGGGTGGGGAGAGGCGGGGAGGAAGCAACTTACCCTCCCTCTTCTCCTGCCTCCTCCTGGCTGAATGAGAGCTGGAAGCGGGGTGGCCGGAAGCAGGGGGCGGGGCTTCGTCATGTACCCCGCCCCCTGCACCTCACCCGGGGGAACTGCATTCCCCACATTCCCCCCCGAAATGACCTCTGAATTTCACCCTTTGCAAGGGCAGCTATTGTCGGTGCAGGGACGCCAGGCCCCCTCCCGGTGAGGGCAGGTGTCCCCCCCACTCCAAGGTCCCACCTCTCTGCCACTGATCAGCTGGCTAGCAGGGGTACTAACCACCAAAAAAGGGAGGGGCACACAACATTGCAGCAATGTGCCTATGTGACTTCAGCATGACCCCGAAGTGATGTACGCTGCAATGTAGCTAATCCTACTACAGAGTTTTTGCCCAGAAACCAGAGCATTGCCCCAACGTCCCTGACATGCCTATGTGATTTTTGGGTCATGTTAGAAGTCACATTCACTGGAGAAGACCCTGATGCTGGGAAAGACTGAAGGTTAAAGAAGACGGGGACGGCAAAGGATGAGATGGTCAGACAGTGTCATAGATGCAACGAACATGAAATTGAGCCAACTTCAGAGGACGGCGGAAGACAGGAAGGCCTGGCGGGATCTGGTCCATGGGGTTGCGAGGAGTCGGACTCGACTGTGCGACTGAACAACAAAGAAGTCACATGGGCATGTCGCTGAAACACCCTCTGCAACTCCCTGCTGCTGGCAAGGGACCCCCATCCCCCACTGGCTGCCAGGAGGGACTGGGCAACCCCAGGTCAGCATGAGTGTTGCGTGGACAACATTTCCACTAGTATCATAAGAACCTACTGGATTAGGGTTGCCAGCTCAGCCTGTGGGCAGGGAATCCATTTGGGAGACTCCTCGAGATTTGGGGGTGGAAACTGGGGTGGACAGGGGCCTCAGTGGGGTACATTGCCACCAAGTCCACCCTCCAAAGCATCCATTTTTTCCGGGGGATCTGATCTCTGTAGTCCAGATAGAAGCTGTAATTCTGGGGGATCCCCAGGTCCTATCTGGAGGCTGGCATCTGTATACCGGATAGTTCAAAAAAGACTATGGAAGATGCACAGGCAAAGCATTCAAAGTAGTTGTAGTTGTAGTAGTAGTAGTAGTAATAGTAGTGGTGGTGGTAGTAGTAGTAGTGGTGGTGGTGGTAGTGGTGGTGGTAGGAGTAGTAGTAGTACTACTAGTAGTAGTAGTGGTAGTAGTGGTGGTGGTGGTGGTAGTAGTAATGGTGGTCGTGGTGGTGGTGGTAGTAGTAGTAGTAGTAGTTCTTCCTGTGAAATGATTGGACATCACTAACAATATACATATTTTATCACCTGAAGAATAGGCAGTAAAGATGGAATGATGTTAATGGACACTCATGTTGAAAATGAAGAAATTTTGTGAGTGACATTGAGAGATTTTGCACTAGAGCTGCCTCAATGTTGTGCTGCCGTTTGCCCCAATACTATTGGTCAATTTCACACCCGAAGCCACGGGGCTGCATTTGACCCGCGGCCTCACCCGATTTCCTCCACAGTTTCGTGATCCTCAAAAAACAGGATCACGAAACTGCGGGGGAAATCAGGCGAAGCCGCGAGTCAAAATGCAGCCCCACAGCTTTGGGTGGGAAATTGACCAATAGTATCGGGGCAAACGGCGGCGCAACATCGAGGCAGCTCTGGTGCGAAATCAGCCATTGACTCACTCCACACCCAAGAGGTTCTCTCATTTGCCCCCCTTCCTTGAGACACTCTGTATTAAAGGAAGTTTTAAAAAATCGGTGAGAAGAAACTGGATGGCATTACTGAGAAACGGGGGCGGGGAGGAGGCCTTTCTAACACTAAGGGTCAAGACCAGTTTTTCTCCCCTGCCATTTTTTTTTTAAAAGCTAATATCTCAAAGGAAGCATAAACTATTGTGATAAGATTACGAAATAAAAGTATTTCGTAATCTTATCACAACAGCTTATGCTTCCTTTGAGATATTGTCTTATATTGTGATTCTCTCAGTCCCGTTACCATTTTTTAAAAGCTGGCAATCTTAGAAAAAAGTCAGCGTTGCACCGAGCTCTGCCCTGAAGCCCACCAGTAGCAGTCTGTTACAATAAAAATAAATCAGTGCCATCAGCCATACACTAAGGGAGTGCATTTTAGAATTAGAACTTTGGTACCCACTATTCAATTATATATAAGGAGAGATTCTCTCAGTCCCGTTACCATTTTTTAAAAGCTGGCAATCTTAGAAAAAAGTCAGCGTTGCACCGGGCTCTGCCCTGAAGCCCACCAGTAGCAGTCTGTTACAACAAAAATAAATAAGGCTCTTGTGGAAACTTAAAAACCAACCTCCCCCCCCCCCAAAACTGGATTATCACAGACTTTTTACATAGGAGATATAAGAAAAATAAGGATTTGCACTAAGATACCAAAATGGCTCAAGTGGGTAAGATGCTGAACTACAGGCTGTGGAAGGTCAGTAGTTCAGCAGTTCAAGACCCGAGTGTGCCGCATGATGGAGTGACCTCCCCTCTCTAGTTCCAGCTCCTGCCAACCTAGCAGTTCGAAAGCAAGAAATTGCAAGTAGATGAATAGGTACCACTTCAGTGGGAAGGTAACAGCGTTCCGTGCACTTTGGTGTTTAGTCATGCTGGCCACATGACCACGGAAATGTCTTTGGACAGCGCTGGCTCTTCGGCTTTGAGATGAGCACCGCAACCCTAGAGTCGGATTCGACTGGCTTTCGAGCAAGGGAAACCTTTACCTTTACCAAAATGGATGGTTCACATTGCATTTTACCTAAAATGTACAAAATGTTGATGGGGGTGGGTCCTCTGTTAAAAACCTCCTGAAGTCGTTAGCTGCAGTATATTGAACACTAAACCGGATGGTTTTCTCTGTTTGAGCAGAGCGGGCCCTAGAAACTTGGTAATAAAAGAGACAGTGTCTTCCTTGGCATGAGAGCTATGTTTATGCACCACCTAGTGGTTGAGAAAGTGTGTGATGGCGCTAGACCCTTCACTCCTGGATGAGCAGAGGGCCGTGCCAAATGTTTCCTCATTTCAGTTGGCTGCACAAAAACAGACTTTGGCAGAGAGAATATTTCCTTGGAAAACAACTCCCCCGTTCGAAAATCTCTGTGTTTGCCTGGTTTTGATCTTATTCACTGCAGTATATCTCATTCTTCACTGTGCTTTAAAAAAAACAAAAAACAAATGTAATTTCTTTTTCCTTCTTAGAGGGATTATAGTCAATGAAGAATCATAGAATGAACATGATATGGTGCCACACAGAGGTGGAACTGGCCACTGAATTTACAAGCAAATGTCCTGGTGGGTCATTGCCCCAAAGGGCCACAGTTAGCTACCGGCAAACAGAGCTGAACTAAAGCAGCAGCCCCCAGCTTTTTCAGTGTGGTGAGCAATGTCCGAGTTTACTCGGTATGATGACCCTGCCAGGGGTGGCCCAAGGTTTTTTGGCACCCTAGGCAAACTATGACCTTGGCACCCATCTAGTTCAACAGTCTTTTTCACACAAACAATCTCATACAGCTGCGCATCCACATTGTCAAGGTTGATCAGGCCGTTC